GGCGCCGCTGTCCCCGCGCAGCGGTGCGAGCCCCCGGCCGGGGCGCTGCGGGCAGGGCGGCCGCGTGCGGGAGCCCCGGGCTGCGCTCGGGCCCGCGGCTTAAGCCGGGTGCCCTGCAGGGCTATCCCGTGCACCGACGTGAGTGCCACCCACAAAACTGGAAAGTGGCCTCATGTCACTGGAATAAGGTCCGCGTGTGCCGAGGGCCAGCGCAGCTGCCGCCCCCTTGGATTCTGTCCTGCTGGTAACTTGATGCTGCTGCCGCCCTCGCGGAGGGCTCCTGGGGGAATGTCTGTGTTCCTGAGGGAATGTCTGTGTTCCTGAGGGAATGTCTGTGCGCCGAGGCACGCAGGGCATCCCGCCGCGGGAGCGAAAGGCTGGGGCCTCCTGCCCGAGAGGCTGATCTTTTGCTTCAGGTTTACACCTAGGTGTTGGTGCTGCTGGCCGTGTTGGTGCAGGGTCACCTGCCGCTTGTTTTCTTGCCATGGACACTCTCCAGGCTGGATTGTCTTTGTTTAAATAAAGGGAGTTTCAGCTCTGGCTCTCTGTCTGGAGATTTTAAAGCTGCGTTGTTGTTTTTATTCACATTTTAAAATCTCAAGGCTTGGTTTCACTTTTGTCTTGCTCAGGCACTCCTCCTAGCTGCATAAGGGAATACTTTTGAATCCAACGCATTTTGGCCTGAATCCCAGCAGAAAACACACGGTGAGAAATTAAAAGTTCAGTCATTTCAAGCTGCAGTCGGGCTTGATGCACTACAAGGCCCAGTGCCCAGTGCCACTGAGCAGTCCTGTTTGAGCTGCATTTGAGGAACGAAGTCTTAGAATTGTTTTTCACATACAAGCAGGAAGAAAACTTAAGACCTTGCAGCAGATTATGAGCACACTGTTAAATTCACCATTTTTTTTTTCTCACTGGAAAGCTGACATGTTTGGGACAAAAATGCATATATATGTGTATTATATATAAATAGTATAGTGATCACAATGATAGCTGATTTGCTACAGCCTGACTGAAATATAAGGAAGGCTGGACAGTGTAGAAAGTTTGTGGGGTTTTTCTTTCACGTCTATGACTGCTGTTGAAAGCTGATTTACCAGTGACTTTGCTGCTCGTACATAACTCATTCCGTTACAAAGGCTCATTGATTGCAGAGCTGTTGCAGAGACACTGAAGTACTTTGCCACTGTGTGATAGCAGCAAAGGGTCAGCCTAAATCTGTAAGTCAGTCAGAGGAGTCCACCATCCAGAGCASAAAGGGATGGAGTATTTTGCTTGTGGTACAATTTTGCTTCATGTTTCCAAGGCCAGATGGAGCTGGACAAAGGTTTTGAACATTTATCTGTATTTTGGACTGGAACAGAGAGTTTGGTGGGCCCAGCCCCTCAGAGGGCAACGACCATTGCTGACAGGGCCTGTTGAGTGGAGAATGGCAGGGGTTGCAGTCCACTTTCCTTGCTACAAAGGTGTTGGACTGTTTTTGGGTGCCTCTTCATYGGCACCTTTGCAATTATTAACAGTTTCTGCTCTGAGACTCGATTAATACTGACAAGTCTAGGGCAGGAATTAGCAAAGCTCCCTGTGAGTAGGCAAACGAATGCTCTGTTAATCATTTGACAAGTTTGGCCTTTCTCATTCAATYGATTTAGTTGTGGGGCCTGTTGGTGACAAGAGCACAGCTTGGTTTGTCACTTAACTTCCTGTCTGTGCAAGCCCCTGGCAGCTCCAGGTTTGCCTTACTGCGGGTAGCTGCTTTTGGTGTCAGTGACACTGCGTTTTGCCTTTCCTTGGTGTCAGTGACACTTTGAAAAACGAAGCATTTCATCACTGTGCTGTTACCTGGCAGGCCGAGTTTCAGCTCTCACCATGGCTGAGGTGCTGGGGGTGCTGAATGGGCCTTATCTCTCCAGGTCAGGTCAAAATCTCATTTGTTTTAATGCTTAAAGTTAGGTCTGCAGAGTCAGTAGGCTGTAAATCCCTGCTACATTTTAGATACTGTTCCTGAAATTGGAAGGGGTCTTGAAATGGTTTGAAATCCTGTACAATGCATATACAGTTACGTGGCTCATGGACCAAATAGAACTAGCTAAATATGCAAGTCAGCAGGCCTAGTAAAATTAACGTTTAGTATATATTGTTGTCGTAAGCTCTTATTCTTAAAACCACAGCAGTAGAAAGCTCTGAAACTTCATAATGAGAGGTGAAGATGATATTGATTTTTTTTTATTGATATTTGGTGTTCTCGTGACATCTTAAAGCTGAGTTGAGTTATTTATTGTAGCTTGTACTATTTTTCATTCAATCTACAGGAGTCAAGCTCAGGTATGCAGGTCTGGGTTGCCCCTCTCCTTTCACATTCACCCAACAGTATAATATGTTGGAATGTGAAATTTTAAGTCCTGATTTTAAACAAAACCACTACCAACAACAATAAAAAGCCTTTAAAAACCCTTTAAAGTCATCTTCTTGAATTTATCAGGAAACAAGAACGCTGAAATCATGGCGGGGAAACCTAAGCTGCACTATACCAAGGGAAGGGGGAAGATGGAGTCAATCCGATGGCTGTTGGCAGCAGCTGGGGTTGAGGTTTGTACCTTTCTGTAAAATGATCKTGGTAACCTGAGTGTTCTCTTTAGGAAAGGTTTCCAAGTCCATTGTGCTTAAGAGCTGCTGTGCACACGTGCTTAGAGAGATGAGCACATGTCATGTTATGATTCAGAAGCAGAATGCCTTGGATTCAGTGATGTTCTGTTGCAAATTGTAGTGAGGATATTGTTCCAGCAACAGATTTTTCTTTACAAAGAGGATCTTTGTTTTCAAAACATAGTTTCTGCATATTCGGCTTAGACTGTTGCTGCAGTCCCAAACTGTGCTCTCTTCAGCTCACTGTGWATGGTCATTATGCAAGGACCTGTGTCTACCCCATGGAAAACTTGAAAATATTTTTTCTACACAAAAATCATCCTTTCTACACAAAAATCATCCTTTCTACACAAAAATCATCCTTTTCATCCTTGTAGTCAGGATCTGACTGGGGCAAATCAACAGAGATGCCCTCAAACCACCAGAGCGGCTCATATTAATTGAAGAGCCACTCTGAGGAAACTTAATTTCCCCATTTGCTTTTTGTTTGAATGTGATGCTTTCATTTCTGAGGAGCTGCTTTTTCTCCTTAGGAAATGAAAGGCCTTTTTCATGATGCTCACATGTGAATGCTGCTGAGGGAGAAGCTGCAGAGCACGAGTTCTGTGGSAACCAAGATTGTGCCCTCATTGAAATGTCCTTTTATTGAAAAATAAGTAAAATATCAGTGRGGCAAATAGGGAGATAAAAGCAGCTGATGCCACATGAAATATTGAGACTATTTTATTCTCTTAAAATGAGTATATTGAATATGAGTATATTGAGTGTTTATGTGTGTATATGTACATATATATCTATGTATATTATGTACATATTTATGTATATTGTGTCACAGTTGCACAGCACTGAAGTAGATGACTGATACCTGGTAATTGTTTATGCAGGTATAGGATTTTATAATAAGGGATTTTTTTCCTCCTGAGGTGTGAAGTGTTGCATGTTATGGTGGGGCCAGATGACGATGTAGTCACAGAATCATAGAATCCTTAAGGTTGGAAGGGGCCTCTGGAGCTCATCTAGTCCAATCACCCTGGTCCAGCAGAGACACCCAGAGCACGGAGCACAGGGCGGCATCCAGGCGGGTTTGGAAGATCTCCAGAGAAGGAGACTCCACAACCTCTCTGGGCAGCCTGTTCCAGGGCTCTGTCACCCTCACWGTCAAGATATTTTTCCCTAAGTTCCTGTGGAACTTTTGGTGCTTCAGTTTTGTGGCCCTTTCCTCTAGCCCTGTCAGTGGTGATCACTGAAAAGAGGCCAGCCCCATTCTCCTGACTCACTCCCTTAGGGTATTTATATGCACTGATCAGGTCCTGCATTATTTGATGGAGTGGAGGTGGAGAACAGGAGTAGGGATCACCAAATAGTCATGAGAAGTGGTGGTAGTATCTATCATGTCTCTAACTTCCAGCCTCCCTTCCCCATTGTGGCCAGCCTGACAGAATGTTGTTTTCTATCTTTGCTTTTCAGTTTGAGGAAGATTTTATAGAAACAAAGGAAGACCTAGAAAAATTACGCAATGGTGAGTTTGTAAATTGTCTCCCTAAAAGTGAATCTGAGTCAATATAACAAAAGTAGTGCCTTATGTGGCCTTTAAAGAGAAGATTTGAGAGACCTGCTGCTTTTGTATGCTTCCACTGCAGCAGCTTTAGTCACTCAAAATTAGAAATGTCTTGCTATATTATTAGCCCTTTTTATTTTCCTCAGATTCAGTGGTTTGATTAGTTTGCTTCCTTTTCCTTTGAAGATGGCTCCCTGCTGTTTCAACAAGTGCCCATGGTGGAGATGGACGGGATGAAGATGGTGCAGACCAGAGCCATCCTCAGCTACATAGCAGCCAAGCACAACCTCTATGGGAAGGACCTGAAGGAGAGAGCCTGGTACAGAAGTAGTACATAGCACCCTTGCTAACACTTGTTTGACTTTTTAACATTGCATGTAAAGGTGTGTGTTACAGCTGCCTGTGCTCTGTCACCTCTGTGTTACATCTGCCCGTGCTCTGCCACCTCTTTAGTTTTTCTCTTAAAATTTTTTATGTAATATGTGAAGATTCTTTTCCTAGTTAATGAAAGATGAGGAAGAAAGCCTCAGTGGCTTGTTGCTACTGAAAGATAAAYCAATGTTACTTTACCGTGTGGGTACACATATGTGAGCCTGGCTTTCCCCAATCATAACTAAAGAGCCCATACAAAAGCAAAARTTCTCATTCACTCCTTGTAATAAGCAAAATAAAAATCAGAAAAAGTCAGCCAAGTCTCCAAGATAATTGACTGCAATTTGTGCTAAAGGGAAAAAATAAACAACTTCCCATAAACAACTTCACCAGAACATGTCTGATAACTGGTAGGCAATTCAGACGAGATAATATTAGTGTGAACTAATATAGTGGAGCAGCACATCTGAACTGGCAGTTTGCAGCCATTTGCTGCCAGAAACCTTTCGTAATTAGGCAAGCAAGTGGCGTATACTACTTCCATCCCCAGCATAAATCAGTCTGATAGCAGTAGAGAAGTATCTGAGCTGCAATTGAATGAGACTCTCTTTAATTGATGTATTAAATATCTGGCTTGTTGCCAGGCATGTGAACCTGTCTACAAAGACTGATGTTTGGAAAACACTAGAGCTGGTTTTTCTTTCCCTTCCATCAAACAGAAAGAATGAGAAAACTTTTTTTTTTTTTTTTAATTCTGCATTGGCTAGTGAACATTTAGTTGCTTGATAAGTTTAACACACTGTGTCATTTAAATAGCCAGTATGGATTGTTCAAATATATTTATTTAACATTTATTATTTGTTTCAGGATTGATATGTAYGTGGAGGGAACGACTGACTTGATGGGAATGATCATGTATCTCCCTTTTCAAACAGCTGAAGTAAAAGAGAAGAATCTTGCCTTAATCATTGAACGTGCTAAAAACAGATACTTTCCTGTCTATGAAAAGGTGATCATTTATTTACCAGGAGTGTTAGTAGTGGAACTGGGTGATGGATTCAGTGATGTGAGAAGGGCCACAAAATAACATTGGGCTGTTACTGGTACAAGGCATCTCTGCTGACTTCAATAAGGTTCCTCACAGAGCAAACCCTACTTGTTACAAGGGATGGGCTCAGACTCTTAAGATCTGCTTTAGTGGCTCATAACTGCTTGCATTTTGCATACGGGCACCATTAAATACCTGTGCCAACCTCCAGAACTTGCCAAAGAGTATATGTACTTTTGTTATTCAATGTTAAATACAAATGTGCTTTATAATCTGGACATAATCCTGTGATCTTTCTCAAATCCATTGCTTATATATATTGCAATAATATCTAGAGACCTGTTACTGACCTTCTCTGAGTCATTTTATTTGGGCATCTTTACGTGTGTGCAGAAAGACTCTGCAAGAAGGGCATACAGAGCTTAAGAATATAGAGGTGTTTATTGCCTCGCCTGCACAAGAGAGATGGCATTTACTGGGTAAAGCATCTGGATTTCCCCTGCCCCCTATAAGGCCCATAAAGAGCCTTTGCTGTCCAGGCAGGGACAGGAGGGGAAGAGAYGCTCTCTGCTGTTCCCTGCAACAAATTCCCACTGCTAGTGAATTGCTATTTTCTATCAATTCTCTTACATTTTACAAGTTTTCATGTTGGTCTTTTTCTTCTCAAACTGAGCTAGCAGTGATTTTTTTATCTGGACAATCCTGTTTCTCTGTTGTAATGTTACCTTCCTTATCTGGTGTGGTTGTAGCACASAGACTTTCTCACAGCTCTTTCTCATGTCCTAGCAGTCTCCTCAGAAGTCCGTGCCAAGGTTGCACAGCTTGGCAGTTCCGGAGCTGAGCCTGGCTCCTGGCCTGTGGCCTTGGCTCTCAGGCAGCTTACGTCCTAGGAGGGAGGTGGGAGGAAGTTACAGAGGGGATGAGAGACAGAGAATGCCAGAGAGAAGTAGAGTCACAAGATCAGAATCATCACGGAATCTCCTCTTGGGAACTAAGGATCTGTAATGGAATCACAGGACAAAATTATTATGCCACATAGGGCTTCTTATATTGTTTATATTTTGTAGGCCTTAAAAGACCATGGACATGACTATCTTGTTGGCAACAAATTAAGCTGGGCTGACATCCATCTGCTGGAAGCCATTTTAATGGCAGAAGAATGTCAGGCTGATATACTTTCTGCATTCCCTCTGCTGCAGGTAATCATCTGATCCCAACAGGGAACAGAATGTGGCAATGTCATTGAGCAGTTTTGGCAGCCTGTTGATGTTCAAGCCCTTTGCACTGCTGTAGGGTGGCAGTGGCCGCCCTCTCATCTATTCCTGTTGACTGTACCAGCCTGAGCGCTGCCACCGGGTGCTGCATGCAGTGCTGTGGGGGCTTCCTTGGCCATCCTTCCTCCAGCTCTACTCGTTCCCTGCTGGCAGGAATTCACTTACYAGCGCTGTCCTTAACTGCTACTTGCAGACCTTCAAACGGGGCAATAGCAGGAGGGGAAGTCTGTGGCCTGTTCTCTCYGCAGATCCTTTCCTTCTGGCTTTGTTAACAAAATCCCATTCTGAAGAATTCCTGTGTAAGAGCTGCCAGTTTCTTCTCCTGCTTCTGTGGTGCTTTACACTGAGGTATTTGTGTCCATACCTCTCTTTAGCCTCAATGTATTCTGCCTATCTGGATTGAGGCTGTGTTTTCTTTCTACCACCTTCATCAGATGAATCTTCTGCTTTTTAAAATTAAAATTCTCCCATCCCTATCTGAGAAGCCCAGGTAATTTTATAGCACCAGTATTGCACATCTAGATGTTCCAAAGAGACTGACGTGTTACTCATGGTGAGGATGCAGACTGCCGAGCTGCACATAAGTAGCCACAAACTTGCTTTATTTGCTAAAGCAAACCTGAGAAGGGAAAATCCAAGACAGCTGACTTTTAAGCTATAAAGAATGGCATAGAATTTCCTTATGCTCATTAGTTTTATTGCTTCTTCTTACAGGCTTTTAAAGGAAGGATAAGCAACATTCCAACAATTAAAAAGTTCTTGCAGCCTGGCAGCCAGAGGAAACCACCAATGGATGAGAAGTCTGTTGCACGTGTGAGGGCAATATTCAATTTCTAATGGGGGTGGTTGCTGAAGACCATGCAAGTGCAGTGTAGTGGCTGACCTATGTCTCCTAGGTGTGAACTGCACACATATACTCTGGGGCTTGCATCATATAGCTGGTCACGTGAAAATCTCTTAATCAAAAAGTATATTTTGCTTCAAAGGCTGATGACTGTAGCTGAGCTGTAGCTATTGATTTCAGAAAATAGTATTTAATCAAGCAGATGTATGAAATAAAACATGCTGGTAAACTTGTGCTTGTTTATTTACTGTGTTTGTGTGGCGGGGTAAAACAAACATTTCCACGCGGGGAGTCGTGGGAAAGCTCTCTTCCAGCCTCCTGCCACTGCAGCATGAGAGACCATAGCTCCAGAGAAAGGGAAAGTCATTGAAATTCAGAACTAGCAACGCTCCTGGCCCACACTTAGTCTCCCTGCCTCTAAATTCACAATTGTTGCTTGGCTCTCTCTTCCTCCATCTTCATTCTGTGTTTCACTGCTCTGAAAAAAAGCAACTACTTTTTTTTTTTTTTTCTCCTTCCCCCCCTTTTTTTTTCTTTCCTTCCCCCCCCACCCCCCAAGACTCATGATTCTTGTAAGGTTATGGGCAGAAGAACCCATGTGTTTTAATCACCGAATAAACTTTTTGGGCTAATCTCTTGGCAGGGGTTTYGTTCACTGTGACATCAAAGAATATCTATTTAATGAGCCTGATCTGTTTTTCATTCACTGAAACAGCCTCCTCCTTCACTTTTCCTTTCTCTGCTTAGCTAGAYGGATATAGAGAGGAAAATGCTCCTTGATTTAGTAAGTAAGGGGAAAAAAAAAAGCATTCTTTGGTAGAGCTAAGTTGCCGCTGTTTCCTTCATACCCTGATGCGCTCATTTTGAAGTACGGACACAGAGACCAGGGTAGATGTACTCATGAGATTGCCTCTCAAATCAGGTCCTGTATTTAAAAATAAACCACCTATTGCKCCTAGTCTCCAATAGGGCAATCATCTAAATTCAGCCTCTTCTGGACTTGGCTGCATAATCCTGCACACAACAATGTAACTTCAACTGAGCTTTCAGCCCCAAAGCCTTATGCAAACTGTAATCACAACACAATGAAACCACAAATAGTTCATGGGCAAATAGTCCCCTTTGTGTAGGGGGAGAATTTCAGCAGAAGCACCTGTTTCAGCTCCTAGCTGCACCTCTCTTAGAGAAGGTTGAGCCGGAGAGTTTAGTTATTTGTGCAGGACAATGAACCCTCCTCAGGTGTTTTCATCAGCAGTGAGAATTTGTGGCATGRTGCATGTTTGAACAGTAATGAGCATGGAGCAGGTGCCCAGTCTCTACAAAAAAAAATGCTAAGAGAAGCTTCAAACATTTTACTTTTTATTTGAACACTGATTACAGTTTTTACATTTGGACCCATGGAAAAAGGTAGCTGGGTTTGAAAGGAAGGTCTGTTTTCCAGGGCAACAGAGTACAGGCACGTGCCTTTACTGAGAAGTATGTGATGTTATTAATAGAATCAATTACTTAATCTTACAAGCTACAAAATTAATGTTCAACACAACACTCCACATAATGATATATGTACATATGTTTTTCTTTTTAAAAAATACAGTGCACTGCTAACTCAATTTCGAGGTGCTCTGCACCTCTGAAAACAATCTGGCTTATARGATCCCTTGAGTTAACAGATGGCTTGTAGAGAAGTAGATCAAACTACATCATCAACAAAACACCAGTTTTTGTCTTTTTTTTTTTTTTAAAGCTGACAAAATATCTGCAGATGCCAAAACTGAATTTCACATACAGATATTTGACAGAAAAGATAAATGCAAAATTAGACTTGTGTTCAAACTTATCTTTTAAGTGTGGGAAGCCTGGCTGTTTGCCAGGGGGGCATGACAGTCATACTCCAGTTCTTAAGCTACTGACTTCCTACAGCAGCATAAAAACAAGCCTCAAAATCATCAAAAGACTGTGGGGGAAAAAAAAAAAAGGACAAAAAACATTATTATGGTTGTGCACAAACAGCAACAGTGAACATCATCTCTAAGTAACAGCACATTCATAAATATCATATCTGACTCTAGAGATTGTAGTAAACAATCCTTTAAAACATGTCTAACTCTACAGCTTCAGTGTTCACTGAAACACATTAGTCTGTCTAAGCTTTGAGAGATCTAAAAYGGAAAAACATTTTCCAATTTAAGTCCCAATTCTTAACTTTTGCATCTAGACCCCTTTTATACATTCTTTCCCTCCCTTTATTTACTGAGAATAAAATAATGAGTCAATAGTTATAATCAATCTGGGGACATCCAAATAGAAGTCATCATTCCTTCAGAAAGAGGAGATTCTGACTTACAATTRAGAAATGCTTTGAGCTACAAACTCACGGGAGGAAAAATGGACTTCTACATTTTAGTAACAATATATTACGTGCATAAAATTGTATTTTTCAGACAGCCAAAATAAACATCAAATATAAAGCAGTCAGACGGGTTACTAACATCATAATTTGCAACCATACTGACAAAGTTCTTAGGTCAAAATCTTCCTGATTTCCAAAGATTAGCACCTTAAGCTTCCAGCACTTTTGAGTGCAGCACTCCTAAATCAAAAGGTTTGTTTTTTTTTGATGTTGTTGGTCATGGTGGTGTTTTTGTTTCTGGATGGCCATTTTGTAGGAAATTAGTCAACTAACTTCACAGATACATGCTTGAAATCACTGAGCCTTACCTCAGGTTCTTCCAAAGGTCTAATCAATACGCATCAATAACTGAATTACTAACACCTCCTCTCTTTGCTGAGAAAGTCAGTCCATATTAGATGCATCTTTCCAAACTTGCTTCATTTAAACCATACAGCTGCTGAACGATAACAACTTCCACTGATACTGACTTGAATTAGAYGTGGAGTAGCAGCTATCTGAAAATTCAGTGAAATCTTTGCATTAAGATCCTCTATATGTTTACCTCAGGCATGCTACTAGTCCGGCTGGCATTAATTTCTTGGACCTCTTGAACCTCATTCCCATTATAATGGTCAAAAGAAAAGCTGAAACTGTAAAAGACAATTCAATATATTTATGTTCCCCCCCCYTTCCCTGTGGATTACTCAGGAACATGAATACTTATCAAAGCTCTGCAAAATAAATGCTACGTTTGCTATGAAATGCCATTTAATAAAATATTAAATAAGAGAAACAGGTCTATGAAACATTCTCGCCTTTCCAAAATACGCTATTTTGGTTTCTTTCAGTTGCAAGTAACATTTCCAGCTGCAGCAGAATAGGTAAATCCTATTCCACAGACAGCAAGTAACTTTGTCAGACTGTGAATTATGTTCCGCTGTACCTACATTCGCCGGGGCTTCCTCCTATGCAGGAGGCAGGACACTCATCCTAATCCTAACATGTAAACTGAGCTATGGGAACATGGCTCATAAATCCTATCACCTAGATCACTGCAGCTCCTTTTCATATTTTAAGGAACTAAAGCATCCAACTTTTATCTAACCTTTTATTTTTAAATGTTAGCCCCTCCTTACCTTCTCAATATAGGGTGGTTAAAGCACCTTGCTAACTCTTCTCAAACCTCACTGCCCATTTTTGTGGGCAATGCCATGCTCACCCTTGTCAAGAATTAGTTTTATACTCACTCTGGCACCATAAGAGAACCACTGACAGCTAAAAGCCATCTATGAGAAGGGCAGCTAAGCATGTGCACACACTGAAGATACCCTGCAGAAATCTATTATGCTCCATTATCCACTGCTCTTGTTTTCTGCTCCCATAACCTGATCCCTTCAGGAATGTCTGAAAAGTGGATTTCCACTATATGTGTTTGCCTACAACCCTGAGCATACACGTGCAGTTAATTAAAAGCTAAAAAAAGCTTATCTGCTCTGTAACATTTTCCCTCCTCCCTCTTTACTGATATCAGGCTTTTAATATACRTCAGTGATTTTTGTAATGCTCAACTATGAGATATTGATCTCGTTTTCAGGAGTGCTTGATATTCATTGYTTCACCTGCAATGGGTCAAAGTAACTCAATAAATCAAGTTTCAGATGCATGAGGTTGCAAGATCAATATTGCTGTATGTCGAAGTCTGAATTTTTACAGCTAACCAATCACAGAAAATTATTCAAGAAAATGCACAGYTAGCTTCAGGGGAAGTGTGAAGATGCAGGAAAAAATAAGAATTTATGCATTAGATTGTCCACTAAAACATTATCTGCATTACTGTAGGATGTTCTCGAGTATATGATAGATACTGTAGATGACTATGGTAATTTTAAATTGCAATTTATCCTACTCATTCACATGTTCAGTGGAGGCACTTTCTTCCATACATTTAATTGCCTTTTGCCATTTTTATTCTACTTGCATTTTGCACTTACGGACTGCTAAGCCTAAGTGAAATCATTCTAGTTTTCTAATGGAAACACTGCATTAGAGAAAGTCCTTGCAGTTATGCCAGTAGGAGACATTGGAGCCACCAGAGAAATTGGAGGTATGAAACTGCAGATGTTTCAGAACGCCCAGTTCTCCCTTCTGAAGTCATTAAGCTGTGTCCAGGACAAAACCAGGCAGAGTGGCTGGCACTGTCCCCACTGGTAGAGCACTCTGTATAAATACTCCTTAAATCTTACCRGGCAACACTTACCCTCCTGAGCTCAGACCACCTGCTTTAAGTTTCTTTGAGCACAGCTGTATCTTTGAAAAGGCCACCCCATTTGTAGCCAAGCTAAAACAAATGCTTATGTTTCAAGCAACTAGGTCACTATTCTGTTAACATTCAAAATTAAGGCTAGTTCTAGTATGTGGAAATAAAAGAATGGACAGTGTTAAAAACATAAGGCAGGTGCAGTGTACTCCAACCATCCCACATACACYGATATAGTTTCAGTTAAGTTAATAAACATTGTTTCTCTGGCTGGAGGGAAAGTCCTCATACACCTACATCTGTACAGAATGGACAACACACTGCCAACATGTTAGCATATCTGCTCCACAAGCAGATTAATGGCAGTTTTATATTAGTCCTTTGCAAATCATGGAACTGGGAAACTTGCAACTTTTACTTATTTTTAAATTATGCTTTACTTATTTTTAAAAGCTCTCCTCCAGAAACTGTGTATGCAAATTAATCATTTAACCCATAAAAGTACAACAGTGTATGGTGATTCAAAGCATGTCACTCTGAAAGACTTCAAATTCCTGTATACTTACGGCAGTGTCTTTATTGCAAAAGAGCTGGATTTTCTTCAGCAGTGAGATAATGAACCTCAGCAAAGGCACACATGCTGACCTGGACTACACAATTTTAGGCTACCCAGTGGCAGGTCAGTGCCATAAGCACCTTTAGTAAAAGCACTCAGCTGGTACAAATGCACTCTGACAACTCAGAGCAATCAACATTTTTCTGAGAATGAAGAAGATTTTTACAACTGCGGCTGGTATAACATGACAATATACAATAGCTCAGATCATATACTTCCTGACAGCAAAGAAAAAAGCTAAGGCAAAATATTTGCTTCATTGGGAGGTGAGGATACTTCGCATCACACGAGACTGGATTTCATAAGACCTTKACCTGACAAGTTACATTCTAGTCTGTAGACCTTTCTGGTAGTTTTCCTAATCTCTCCACTGGATTTCGTAATATACGTGGTATTATAAAAGCAGCTAACAAAAAGAGGCACTGCCAGGTGGTAGCACACACCTGCTGGGCTTGTGTGAATGACCTGCCTTATCATGCCAACAAGGCTGCATTTAAGCTCTCAAATTTCGCACGCTAAGCTGAAATGAGGTTATCACAAGTGTCTTACTCTATTTGAAAAATAACATTTGAACGGAAGCATAACCRTTATGCTCAAATTTAACACGAAACAGACTTTGACATGCATTTCAGGCAACTGCCTTTTCCTTTTGATGTAGCAAAAACTTACACAATGATATCTTCACGTTTCTTGGATCACGCGTTACACAGTAAGCACCRTAAGCAGTCACAGAACCAAAGGTGAGACCAGCAGCTAAAGAGATTTTACTACCTGGAAAAGAAGAAAAAAAAAAAAATCACAAATAATTTATCAGTATGGCATCTTTTAGAYAGAGCTATCTCTGTACAGTTATTATCTTAGTATTTTGAAAACAGAGCTGATTTTGCCATGAGGCAGCCAACCTGACAAACGTGAACAGGAAGGTAATGKTTCTTTTATTACGCTTGCCCACTCTCCAGCATTATATTACCAACAAAGTCCATTCAAGAAAAGGGAGATAATGGAGATAATGGAAATCAGTATCAAGACTTGCCACCTGGGAAAACACCTTCCAAGCAAAAACTGAACTAGGCTATTTGCTCTACCACATACACTACTATTACAGAGATTGTGAAAATGCTTGACTACCACTGCTGATTTTTACCGTATCTCAAAGCATTTGGGAGTCTCTAAAGACCTGGAAGAAAACTCATAATGTGTCAATGTGGATAAAAAGTAATTGGGACAACACAGGCAGCCATAAGGCTTGTAGTCCGACATCAATCCTGGAAAAATAAGTGATATCACTGATGCCACATTTAATTAACCAATAAAGAAGTTCAAAAGATTTTAAATTTAGATTACATTTATGATAAAAAAAATAAAAAGTTTTTATAAACTAGAATTTGACATCTTTCCATGCTATTACAGAATTGTTTCATAAAGTCCACAGCTTTAACAATAAACTTAAGTTTCTGAATACTGCTACCATAAGGTAAACCTATRGAATCACAGTGTTACCTGAAGCAGATGTTATCTGGATTAAAAGAGATTCCCTAATTACTATAAATGAAGAATCCAGACTCTTACGTGCCATTTACCTCCCAGTCCTGTATAGCTGACTATTTTTTAATCAAGAACACAAAAGAAAACATACATCATCACTATTAAAAGCCAAATTTCGCACAATGACAGGCAGATTTACAGTTAAGGAGAGTGACTAACTTGATAGTGTAATTAGTTACAAACAAATAAATATGAAGTSTTTTAAGAAAATATGTTAAGAAGGCAGAACACCCTACATAGGGAAACAGGGAGTGTGAATCATGGGAATCACAACGGATAATGAAGCGGGTGCCAGTTCCAGGGCCAGGTGAAGGGTGGGAATGCGGGGGGCACTGACTGCCAGTGCCTGGASCTGGAGCTGCCCGTGCTCGATACGAGGGCGACCTCTGCTGGGATCCGCGCTCTCTCCTGGCATTCCCGGCCCATGGAGGCATCACTAAGGTGGAACTTTRTACATATGTCGCATAAACACACAATAAGGTAACAGTCCCCTTTGGCACTGAGACCAAACGCAATCACTTCAATTAACAGAAGAAAAAAGTGACTGAGTGACTGTGTCTGCTGAAGTTTGCCCAAGTAATTTCACATGACTCAGCTCCTTTGTACTGGCGCAGCCAGACTTAAGAAACGTCATGTTTGCCTCAACAAAAGTTTCATCTCTTATGCCTCTGGCCTTTTTAGAAGTCCTGCTGGAGAGGAAATTCAAATGCTTCATTTCCACAGCCTGGCACCTCAGCATCTACCTTTCCGAGTGTATCCCATAACACCTCCAACAGCCAGCAAGGCAGCGTACGCAAAACCAATCCAGTCAACAGCCATGGTCCCGATCCTGGAGAAGAAAACACACTGCAACTAGAGACAAACAAGTCATTTCTAGGAAAAAAAAAAAAAATGCAAACACAACCCCCAAAATATTTATTCCATTTTATGGAGTGTTCTGAACAACAGACTGTCCTCACTTGTGTTTAATTACTGCGTCAAAACGTTCTAGTGGTTAAAATGACTTCTCTCCATGAAGAGAGAAGCCCTTTCCCTAGCCCTTCCCCGAGCTGTTCCTTACGCCGTGCACGGACAGGCCTGTCCCTGATGGCGACACACATGTGAGCAGCGGGCATGCCAGGACGTGGGGCTTCCTGCAGGCACACGAGGGGAGCTCCCACTAAACCTGTGGGCACCTCGTCCCACCTGCACCCGGGCTCCTGGTTCTACCTTTGGCTTCTGACCGGGTGCTGAGGTTGTGCCCTCCGAGGCCGCGGGAAGGAGGACACGCTCATGGCACCTGCCAGCCCTCTGACACCACAACACGCTCATGGCCCCTGCCAGCCCTCTGATACCGAAACACGGCGCTGGCCGCGCACACCCGGCCCTGTCTCCCYGCGGGCTGCACGGCTGCAGCACCGACCCGCAGCCGGCAGAGCGGCCCCGGGCCCGGCAGGGCCCCCGCTGCCCCGGCGAGGCTCCCTCTGCCGCCC